GACAAAAAAAAAAAAAAAAAAAAAAAAAAAAAAAAAAAAAGGAAAAGGCAAATAGCATGTTAGTGTTATTATGAAAACAGTTTTGACCTTACAGACCCTCGAAAGGGTCTCCAGGACTCCTGGGGGGGCCCCAGGCCACACTTTGAAAACTGCTGGATTAGACAAGAGTCAATGCTCTCTGCCCATCAGCTGAGCCCCAAGTTTGGACTGTTTCCCAGAGTGCCTGTGCCATGAACCAAAGGCTGTCCCTCAGGAATGGCAGGACAGAGGAGCCGCTGGTTGCTCTGGGACCACAGCAAGGGTCTGACCCAAGAATCATGTCTGATTGCAGGCTTCCAGTCCTCGTGTATCATCTTTATTTTGATTTTGGATGCTCACAACTCTTGGGTGGTCTGATTATCCCCATTTCACAGACAGAAAAACAGGCTCTGAGAAGTGTGGTAAGCTGCTCAGGGTCACATAGCAACCGGCACTGTCAGGAATAGCTGGTGATGGATGCCCTTGCTCGCTCAGAGCCGACAAGGGCGTTAGAGAGCCATGTCTGGGAATCCCACCGCATCTTCACAGCCATGCAGTCTGCAGAAAGCGTGACGATGAAGGTGTCCAGACTTGCTCCAGGGCATCAGGCTGGTGAACTATGGACATGTTGGCTCCTGGGCTCTAAGGCCCCAAATTGGAACACAATGCCTGGAGGGTTTGGAAGGCCCTGGGTGGAAGGAGGAAGCTGAGAGAGCAGCGTTTAAGGCAGCCTGAGCAAGACTGCTTGGGCTCAAATTCTGTCTCCCCCACCCCCTTGGGACCTTAGGCGTGATGCTCAATCCACTTTCTTCATCTGGGAATCAAATAATGATGCAGTCTGGAAGGTCATGATGGTTTGAGGGGACATGAGAGGCACAGGGAGACGGTGCCCAGAGCAGTCCCTGCTGGGCACAAAGGAAGCACTTGGGGCAGCGCCAGCCTGCTCCTGGATGGGCCCGCATGAGATCTTGTTGGAAGAAAGCCATTTAGAATCCACTGGGCCAGATGATCTGCAGCCAGTGTCCCTCAGCTCAGCCTCCCTGATGCTGTGGGCCGGGGCAGGCGGGGGCTGCAGGGACTGGACAGGGCCAGGAAAGTCCCCTTCCCTTTGTGGTGTCTCCCTGCAGCGCCCCGCTCACCTACAAAGATGGCACATCCCTGGCCCTGAGCTGTATAGCTGACTACGGGGCCCCTGTCTTCCCTTACCTCGCTGTGGGGGGGTACAAAGGTAAGCTGGGAAGGCCTGGAAAGGAGCCCAAGGAAGGAGCAGGAATAATAGACAGGGGGGTAGGAGTGGTGATGGGGGTTCCTGCTGCCTGGGGGTGGCCCAACTTTTGCTGGCTGCAGACAGAGCCCCTACTGCCTCCTCTCTCTGCCACCTCCTTCATCTTCTCTCAGCACTGCCCAGGTGCTCTGGTGTTGTGCCTGTGTCCAAAGATCTCGCTTTTGGCTGAAAGAGGAATGTGGGGTATAGGGAGTAAGGCCATGATTCGAATGAGAAAGGGTGGAGTAGGAGAGAGGGGAGGCAGGGGTGCAGCTGAAGAGGGAGGGAGACAGGTGCAGCTGGAAGGAGGAGGGAGACAGTGGTACAGCTGGAGGGCTAGGGAGGCAGGGGAGTAGCTGAAGAGGGAGGCAGGCATGGGTGTAGCTGGAGGTGGGCTGAGCATTGCTTTTCCCAGGAAAGGACTACTCTGAGGCGGAGGCCCTGATCATGACCTTCTCCCTCAACAACTATGCTGCTGGGGACCCCCGCCTGGCCCAGGCCAAGCTCTGGGAGGGGGCCTTCTTGGAGGAGATGCAAGCCTTCCAGCAGAGGACGGCCGGCATGTTCCAGGTCGCATTCATGGCTGAGGTAGGGGCTGTGGGGTCCCAGGCTCCGGTAGTGCAACCCAGGTGGCTTCTGTGTCCCCGTCCTGACCCTGCCCCTTCCTGAGGAACTCTGGACAGTGGCTGCCTGCTCTGAACAGGGTGACTGTGATAGTCATAGTCTTACTGGGGCTCATAGAAGGCCACCTGGCACGGTGAGCCAACACACTGGCAACACCGTGCCAGTGACTGAGCTCTTGAGAGCTGGCCTGGCCAGAGCAAGCAGTCAGGGGGGCTGGTTGGGTGTGTTTGCAGCGCTCTCTGGAGGATGAGATCAACCGTACTACGGCTGAGGACCTGCCCATCTTTGCCGTCAGCTACATTGTCATCTTCCTGTACATCTCCCTGGCCCTAGGCAGCTACTCCAGCTGTAGCCGTGTGCTGGTGAGAGGTGGGAGGATCACAGCCAGGTGGGCTGGCTGAGGGCCCCGGACATCTCCAGCAGGCCTTTTTCTAACACTTTCCTAACCAGAGCACCTCAAAACAGCCATGTGGACACACCCAAAGTGGCTCTCCCAAAGGGTGATGTTTCTTGGAAGTGCTCCGTGTTGAAAGGTCAAGAGCAGTTTTCTGTTCCTTGACATATACCCATTTGTCCAGATATGAAGCTAATATTTAGCACGTCTTGTGATGCGTGCTCAAGGAGGATGTGCAGGCTCACCCATGCCTTTGGGTGCCAGGGGCCTGTCCTCGGGAGGATGGCACTGCAGACGTGAGCTGCTTGCTGCTGTGGGCAGCACCGAGAGGCTTACCTGCTGCCCACTGCCCCCCGGACTGGGGTGGGGGGCCTACCCAGGGAGATGTCCTGGTGGCCAGAAGCCTGAGCCTGGCTGCATTGCAGGTGGACTCCAAGGCCACGCTGGGCCTAGGCGGGGTGGCCATGGTGCTGGGAGCAGTCATGGCTGCCATGGGCTTCTTCTCTTACCTGGGTGTCCCCTCCTCCTTGATCATCCTCCAAGTGGTTCCTTTCCTGGTGCTTGCTGTGGGGGCCGACAACATCTTCATCTTTGTTCTTGAGTACCAGGTAAGAAGGAAGGAGTTCTCCATGGCCCTGACCACCCCCTCCACTCCCAAACCACTCCCCCGCCCCCCACCAGACGGGACTGGTGTGCTGGGCCTTCTTGCAGGCCCTGTCTGTGCGGTGCCACTCATGTTTGCAGTACCTGTAGAACAGAGTGCATTGACTAAGTGCATCCATCCCATCTGTCATGGAACTTGCTTTCTGTTAACCCCGCATGGCGTCGGGTAAATGCTTCCCGTGTTGGCTTGCTAGTGCCATTCCCATCTTTGTGCTTCTCTGCAGCGTTCCATAGGATAATTCCGAGTTGACTTAGCCTCCCTCTGTTGGGGAACATTTAGGGTTCCATGATGCTTGGAACAAGGATGCTATAGATATCCCAAACGTACCAAACATTTCTCTGGTTCAGACACTAGAAGCAACAAGTGTGGCCGTGGAGAGGGTTCCCAGGGTCTGTTCCTGACTTGGGAAGGTCAGGGCAATTCCTCAGGCTTGGCCAAGACTCTGAGCACTTGCCAGCTCCCTGCTGGCCTTTCAAGGATGGCACCGTTGGTGGGCTCTGGACCTTATCCCTGCTGTTCCCACACAGAGGATGCCTCGGAGGCCTGGGGAGCAGCGGGAGGCACACATTGGCCGAGCCCTGAGCAGAGTGGCCCCCAGCATGCTGCTGTGCAGCCTCTCAGAGGCCATCTGCTTCTTCCTAGGTGAGCCTGGGGCGGCCCCTCCCCACCCAGGCGCTGGCCTGCTGGGTTAGTGCCCGAGAATTTTTGGAGTAGAGGATACAGGGCACAGTCCTTTCCCTCTGCACCCTGTCTGTGCAGGTGTCCACTCCACCCCTGAAGCCAGAGTGCCCTGACAGCCCTCTGCTTCCCCACCCCCCAGGAGCCCTGACCCCCATGCCGGCTGTGCGGACCTTCGCCCTGACATCTGGCCTTGCGGTGATCCTCAACTTCCTGTTGCAGATGTCAGCCTTTGTGGCCCTACTCTCCCTGGACAGCAAGAGGCAGGAGGTAAGGACAGCTGGGCCAGGACTGGGGACCTCTGCCTGGAGGGTTTGGGGGACCCCGGGTAGGAGGATCTACCCCTGGGATCCCACCTTGGCTAGGAGGTGGGGTGGCCTCACTGCCACAGAGATGGCCCAGAGAGTGGGGTGGGGAGAAGGACATCGTGCTGGGAGGGGAATACTTGGGCTGCACATTCCCCAATTTCCCACAGAAGAATATTTTCATTTTGGCAATTTTTGGAAATATGCTCAAACCTCCCACAGTACATGAGGTCACAAAATAAATACGAGAAGTTGACAGAAGTTGAGTTATTGGTTCTGTGATGGTGTAAAATTCAAAGATATTTTATCAAGACAGAAAATAAGAGCAATGAAAACAGCACACGGGCATGTACCCATGATGCTGCAATGGCATGGGCCACTTACAGAAGGTGGCACTCCCTACGGCGGGGTGGCAATGGAGGCAGTCCCCAGGAACTGCTCTGGGGCCACCTTGAAGTGCTGCCTCCTCCCTCCAGGCCTCCCAGCAGGATGTCTGCTGCTGCTTCAGGCACCGGGACCTGCCCCCGCCTGGCCAAAGCGAGGGGCTCCTGCTCCGCTTCTTCCACAAGGTCTACGCCCCCTTCCTGCTGCACTGGCTCACCCGCAGGGTCGTGGTGAGTGGGCCGCACACCACCCAAGGCCAGGGGTACTGGGTGGGACCTCACCATGGGGAGATCGGGGTTGAGGGTGGAGAGGTTACCCCAGTCCAGGTGCTGATACTTGGGACTGGCACTCAAGTCTGCCCAACTCCAGAATGTTTCCCATGACATCCCAAACTGGACTCAAATTTGGTGGGAGATGGGAGGCTGTTGGTTGGGCAGGTTCTCATGCAGTACTTCCCTCCTAAGCCATTCCTGTTTCTGGCCCTGTTTGGAGTGAGTCTCTACTTCATGTGCCAGATTAGTGTGGGGCTGGACCAGGAGCTGGCACTGCCCAAGGTGAGCCTGGGCCCTTCCCAATCCTTGGTCCCCTGGGATTTGGGGAGGGGCAACAGCACAGAGCAGGTCGGGGCTGCACGGGCCAGGGGCTTGGCAGGCAGCACAGAATTGCTCACCCCTCAGAGGTGCCCCAGTGCAGCAAGGGAGAGAAGCCACATCCATGCATGAAAAACACAAGAGCTAAGTGACGTCCAGTTTGTTTACTTTTTCTTTTGTGCCCTGTGCCTTTGGGTCATATCCAAGAAATCACTGCCAAATGTAATGTCATGAAGTTTTCCCCTATGTCTCTTCTAAAAGTTTTATAGCTTTAGGTCTTACATTTAGGTCTTTGATCCATTTTAATTTTTGTATATGGTGGTAGGTAAGGGTTCAACTTCATTACTTTGCAAGTAGATATCCAGTTTTCCCAGCACCAGTTCTTGTCCCTTCCATCGAATGGTCTTGCCCCCTTGTCCAAAATCATTTGACCATATATGTGAGGGTTTATTCCTGTGCTCTCTATTGTTCCATTGGTCTCTATGTCTGTCTTTATGCCAGTACCAAACAGTTTTAACTACTGTAGCTTTGTGGTAAATTTTGAAATCAGGAAGTGTGAGTCTTCCAACTTTGTTCTCCTTTATCAAAATTGTACTGGCTATTCAGGTTCCCATATGAATTTTAGGATGAATTTTTCCATTTCTTCAAAAAATGACATTGGTATTTTTTTTTTTTTAAATGACCGGTAAGGGGATCATAACCCTTGACTTGGTGTTGTCAGCATCACGCTCTCCCAAGTGAGCTAATCGGCCATCCCTATATAGGGATCTGAACCCATGGCCTTGGTGTTATCAGCACCACACTCTCCCAAGTGAACCGTGGGCTGGCCCAACATTGGTATTTTGATAGGGATTGTACTGAATCTGTAGATTGCTTTGGGTGTATTGACACCTTAACAATATTATCTTCCAATTCATGAACACAGGATGTCTTTCCATTTATTTATGTTTTCTTTAAATTTTTCAGCAATATTTTGTAGTTTTTGGTGTACAAGTCTTTCACTTGCTTGGTGAAGTTAATTCCCAAGTATTTTATTCTTTTTGATGCACTGTAAATGGAACTGTTTTAATTTCCTTTTCAGATTGTTTATTATTGGCGTATAGTAATACAACTGATTTTTTTGTGACGTGATTTTGTAACTGGCAACTTTGCTGAATTTGTTTATTAGCTCTAACAGTTTATTTATTTATTTTAGTAAAGCCTTTGGGGTTTTCTACATATAAGATCATGTCATCTATGAATGAAGATAACTTTACTTCTTACTTTCCCATTTAGATGCCTTTAATTTCTTCTTCTAGCCTAATTATTCTGACTAGGACTTTCAATACTATGTTGAATAGAAGTGGTGAAAGTAAGCATCCTTGTGTTGTTTCTGATCTTATAGGAAAAGCTTTCATGTTACTCGCCATCAGGTATGATATTTGCCTTGGGTTTTCATTCATGGCCTTTATCACGTTGAGGAAGATCACTATATTCCTAGTTTTTTGAGCATTTTTATTAGGAAAGGATGTTGAATTTTCTTTTCTGCATCAACGGAAATGATCATGTGATTTTTTTTCTTCATTCTACTGTGGTGTAGTACATTAACTGGTTTTCATATGTTGAACCATCCTCACATTCCAGTAATAAATCCAATTTTGTCATGGTGTATAATCCTTTTAATATGCTGTTGAATTCAGTTTGGTGGTATTTTGTTGAGGACTTTTGCATCAGTGTTCATAAGGGATATTGGTTTGTAGTTTTCTTGTAATGTCTTTGTCTGCTTTTGGTATTATGGCAATGCTGGCCTCATACAATGAGTTAGGAAGTGTTCCTTCCTCTGCAATTTTTTTGAAAGAGTTTGATGAGGATTGGGGTTAATTCTTCATTAAATGTTGGTAGAATTCACCAGTGAAGCCATCAAGTCCAGAGCTTTTCTATGTTGGGAAGGCTTTTGTTCCCTCATTCAATCTTCTTCTTCGTTATGGGTCTATTCAGATTTCCCATTTATTCCTGATTCAGTCTTTGTATTTTTTGTGTTTCTAGGATGTGTCCATTTCCTCTATCTGATTTTTATGCATACAATTGTCCTTAGTACTTTCTTATAATCCATTTTATTTCCATGGAATTGGTACTCGTGTCCCCACTTTTAATTCTGATTTTAATAATTTTGAGTCTTTTTTTTCTTTAGTCTACTTAAAGAGTTGTCACTTTTGTTAATCTTTTGGAAGAACCAACTCTTGGTTTTGTTGATTTTCTCTACTGTTTTCCTATTCTCTTTCTTATTTATTCTCTGCTCTAATTTTTATTATTTTCTTCCTCATGCTAGCTTTGGGTTTAGTTTTTTTGTTTTCTTCTAGTTCTTTAATTTGTAAAGCTGGGATGTTGATTTGAAATCTTTTCTTTCTTTCTTTTTTTTTTTTTCAAAAGATGACCGGTAAGGGGATCTTAACCCTTGACTTGGTGTTGTCAGCACCACGCCCACCCAGTGAGCTAACTGGCCATCCCTATACGGGATCTGAACCTGTGGCCTTGGTGTTATCAGCACCGCACTCTCCCGAGTGAGCCACAGGCTGGCCCAAAATCTTTTCTTTTTTAATGGAAGCATTTATAGATATAAATTTCCCCCTCAGTACTACTTTTGCTGCATCCCATAAGTTTTGGTATGTTGTGTTTTCATTTTCATTCATCTCTAAGTATTTTCTTATTTCCCTTGTGATTTCTTCTTTGACCCATTGGTTGTTTATGGGGGTGTTGTATAATATCCACAAATTTGTGAATTTTCCAGTTTTTTCTTCTGTTATTTCTAACTTCATCCCATTGTAGTTGAAGAAGATACTTTCCACTGAGATTTAATATGTGGCCTAACATATGGTCTATCCTTGGGAATGTCTCGTGCACTAGAGAAGAGTGTGTATTCTGTTGTTGGGTAATGTTCTGTGTATGTTAGATGTAGTTGGCTTGTGTTGTTCAAGTATTTCCTTACTTATTTTCTTTCTTTTTTTTTTTTTTGTGATCGGTAAGGGGATCATAACTCTTGGCTTGGTGTCACCCGCACTGTGGTTATTGTGTTGTTCAAGTATTTCCTTACTTATTTTCTTTCTTTTTTTTTTTTTTTTGTGATCGGTAAGGGGATCATAACTCTTGGCTTGGTGTCACCCGCACTGCGCTCAGCCAGTGAGCGCACCGGCCATCCCTATATAGGATCTGAACCTGCGGCCTCGGCGCGCCCAGCGCCGCTGCGATCCCAGCACTGCACTCTCCCAAGTGAGCCATGGGGTCGGCCCTCCTTACTTATTTTCTATTCTCGGCGCGCCCAGCGCCGCTGCAATCCCAGCACTGCACTCTCCCAAGTGAGCCATGGGGTCGGCCCTCCTTACTTATTTTCTATTTTGTTGTCTTATCTATTACTGAGAGTGGCATAATGAACTCGCCAATTATTACTGCAGAACTGTATATTTCTCCTGTCAATTTTGTAAATTTTTGCTTCAGATATTTTGATGGTCTATTACTGGGCACATAGATGTTTATAATTGTTATGTCTTTTTGCTGTGTTGAAACTTTTACTAATATATAATGTCCTTTGTCTCTTGTAAGCTTTTTGATTTGAAGTTTATTTTGTCTGATATTAGTATGGTTACCTCTACTCTCTTTTGGTTACTATTTGCATGGGATATCTTTTTGCATTCTTTTACTTTTAAACCATTTCTGTATTTGAATGTAAAGTGAGTCTCTTGTAGACAGCATATAGTTAGATCATGTATTTTTTATCCATTCTGTCAATCTTTGTCCTTTAGAGATTAGAGAGTTAAACCTATTTACATTTAGGTTAATTACTGATAAGGAGAGATTTACTTCTCTCGTTTTGCTATTTGTTTTCTATATGCTTGATAGCCTTTTGTCTCTTATTTCCTGCATTACTGACTTTTGTGTTTATTTTTAGTAGTGAAACTTTAAATTCCCTTCTCATTTCTTTTTGTGTACGTTCTATAGCTTAGCTTCAACAGCATATAAAAACTCTGCTCCTATACAGCTCCATCTCACACCCTTTCAGTTTTTGATGTCACAAAATTACATCTTTATACATTATGTATCCAAAAACATAGACTAATGATTGTTTTTATGCATTAGCCTCTTAAATCATGTAGAAAACAAAAAGTGGAGTTAAAAACCAAAGTTATAATAATATTAGCTTTTATAATTGTCCGTTTATTTACCTGTTTCAAGAATCTTTATTTCTTTATACATCTTTGATTTACTGTCTAGTGTCCTTTCATTTCAACCCACAGGACTCCCTCTATCATTTATTGCAGGGAAGGTCTAGTGGTAACAAACTCCTTCAGCTTTTGTTTACCTAGGAATGTCTTAGTTTCTTCCTCATTTCTGAAGGACAGTTTTGCTGGAAATAGGATTCTTGGTTGACATTTTTTTCCTTTAGCACTTTGAATACACAAATCCACTGCCTTCTGGCCTTCACAGTTTCTGATGAGAAATATGCTGATAATCTTATTGAGGATCCTTTGTACGTGATGAGTTGCTTCTCTCTTGTTGCTTCCAAGATTCTCTTTTGTCTTTGTCTCTTGACAGTTGGATTGTAATGTGCCTTGGTGTGGGTCTCTGAGTTTATCCTATTGGAGTTTTCTGAGTTTCTTGGATGTTTATATTCATTTCTTTCATCAAACATGGGGAGTTTTTGGCCATTATTTCTTCAAATAGTTTCTCTGCCTATTTCTCTCTTTTCCTTCTGGAATTCCCACAATAAGTATGTTAGTCCACTTGATGATGTCTCAATGGTCACTTAGGCTCTGCTCTGTTCACTTTTCTTCTTTCTTTCTGTTCCTCAGACTTGATAATTTCAATGGTCTTACCTTCAGTTTGCTAATTATTTCTTCTGACTGCCCAATTCTGCTTTTGAATTCCTCTAGTGAATTTTTCACTTGAGTTATTGTACTTTCCAGCTCCAGAATGGCTTTTTGGTTCCTTTTTAGGTTTTCTCTTTATTGGTATTTTCATTTTGTTCATAAATCATTTTCTTGACTGTCTATGTCTTATTTTAACTCTTTGTGCAACTTTAAGACAGATGTTTTAAAGTCTTTGTCTAGTAAATTTGCTATCTGATCTTTCTCAGGAACAGTTTCTGTCAAATAATTTTTTTCCTTTGAATGGGCCATATTTCCTTTTTTTGTATGTTTTTGATTTTTTCTTTTACTTTTTTATTCTTTTGTACTCTGTGTGATTTTAGGTGGTTGTTATTTTTTTTTAAAGATGACCAGTACGGGGATCTTAACCCTTGACTTGGTGTTGACAGCACCACACTCTCCGAAGTGAGTGAATTGGCCATCACTATATAGGGATCTGAACCCATGGCCTTGGTGTTATCAGCATCACACTCTCCCAAGTGAGCCATGGGCTGGCCCTGTTATTGTTGAAAAATGTACAGTTGAGTCTTATAATGTTGTAACTCCAGAGATCAGATTCTCCCCCTTCTCCAGGGTTTGCTTTATTTTGCTTTATTTACTGTTGATGTGCTTGGGATCAGCCTGAGGTGTAAAATTAATGTCTCATCAGGTCTTTTCTGAGCCTGCACCTCTCTCTGGGCATTTGTGGTGATTCCCCTGTATTTCTGGATGCTTTTGAATGTCCTAATCCTTAAATGTATGACTCCCAAAAAGAGAAAAAGGGGAAATGAAGGGAGAGAAACAGATGCTTACCCTTTAAATCTCCTGGAAGTCACTTTAGCCAGAGGTGGGGGGTTGCAAGAAGGGTACTGGGAGTTCCAATCATCATGGCTGCCTGCCCATGTGTCTTCATCACCAAGATCAGAAGCAGCAATCAGTGATCAGAACTCAGATCCTTGATATTTGGAAGACAGAGTCCTTATTGCCTACCCTGCCTCCTGCAAGCCATGTGCAAGCTGCTCCTGGAATGCATGTATGACTGCATTCCTTCAGGTTGGGAGTGGGGAATGGGTAGCTGCTACTGTACTAAAAGCTGAAATTGACCACAATTAACCACAATTTACCACTCAAGCCTTATACTGGATGCTCCCAGCCCTTAGTATACTCCAGAGTTCCTAAACAGTGACATCGGACAGCTTCTGCCAGTGTGATTGTTATCTAGATGGGGAAACAGATTCCTGGTGCTTCCTACTCCACCATTTTCCCTGATGTCACTCTGAGGTTTTATGTCATAGAAGGGAACAGAACATGAAGATGCCTGGTGCATGGTCTTGACAGTGTGCACATGGACATTTACATGTGCAGGCAAATATGGGTTATGGTCACAGGTCAGCTTATTAGACTGTGGCTGTGGAAAATTGGGGATGATAGGAAGGGTTAAAAGTATAATGCATGTTCGTGTGTTTGTTAATGTGTTCACACAGGGTGATATGTATTGCTCTGTGCTTGCAACCTCCATGAGTGTACTTCTGTGTGTGCACCTATGATTATACTTGTATGTGTGAAACTTGAAGCATGTATATCTGTGGGTACACCTAAAACCACGTACCTTTGTAATTGCACTGTGTACATCTGTGAGAATACCTCTGAGCATGTTCGTCTGTGCTTGTCCCTCTTTGTATGTACCTTATGTATGACCTCTGAGTATGTCCCTTTGTCTATACCTTGTTTGTATGCTTCTGTGCATGTACTTCCATGCAAAAACCTCTGAGCATGTACCTCAGAGCATGTAAATCCATGTATACCTCTGTGTGTACCTCTAAGTGTGCACCACTGTACATACCTCTGTGTACCTCTGAGCATGTACCTCCAAGCATGTACCTCTGAGCATATACCTCTGAGCATGTACTTCTGAATGTGTACCTCTGAACATGTACCTCTGAGAATGTACTTCTGTGTGTGTACCTCTATGTGGGTACCTTGGAGAATGGACCTCTCAGCATGTGTACCTTTGTGAGTGTGAGCTAGTGTGAGCCCTTTAGGAGTGTGTATGGCCTCCCAAGGCTCACTGACGCTCCTCTGCTCTCAGGACTCGTACCTGCTCGACTATTTCGTCTTCCTGAACCACTACTTTGAGGTAGGGGCCCCAGTGTACTTTGTCACCACCTCGGGCTACAACTTCTCCAGTGAGGCAGGCATGAATGCCATCTGCTCCAGTGCAGGCTGCAATAACTACTCCTTAACCCAGAAGATCCAGTATGCCACTGAGTTTCCTGAGGAGTGAGTGCCTGGCCCACCTAGGCCCCTGGCCTGCTCCTTGTGTCCTCCAGTCCCCTCTTCCTGCTTGCTCTACCCCTGCCCCTGCCCTGCTGTCCACCTGCTGCTATATGTCTAGGGAGGCCCAGCATGGGGGTTGGGCCACAGGAAGGGTCCACCCTCACCTGGCTGGTCCTGCCCCTGACTCCCCCGGATCTCAGGTCCTACCTGGCCATCCCCGCCTCCTCCTGGGTGGATGACTTCATTGACTGGCTGACCCCATCCTCCTGCTGCCGCCTTTACACCTCTGGCCCCAATAAGGATGAGTTCTGCCCTTCGACCGTCAGTGAGTGTGGGGCCTCGGTATTCATTCCACCACAGCTTGGGGAAACTGAGGCAAGAGAGAGGACTGGCGAGGCTTGTGCAACCCCCCCGTCCCTACTGCAGGGCCCGGTGCAGGGAGTGGGCTGGGCCTCAGAGCAGCAGCTCTGTGAGGAACGTGTGTTGTGGCTGTGCTGGGCCACCAGGCATCCTCACACTCATGCTCCTTCTGTGTTATGCCCGCACTTGCGGGGCATGTGGCACTTGAGGGCAGTGGGACATCAGGTGTGGGAAGCTGAGGTTGGCATGTGGCCCTGCCACTGGAGCAGCTGTATTTGTAGGTGGAGTGAGAGGCTCCTGTGGGGCTCGTTTCTCTGCCCCAAACTTCCCTTCCCCACCTGTCCATAGGTGTTGGTAGTTTCTGTAACTAAGAGGGGAACTTCTCCCCAGTTAGAGACAACAAGTGGAAATCTCCCTAGAAGTGACTCATGCAGGTGGGAATGCCTGGGGGTACCTTTGATGGGAGTGGAGAAGGGGGACAGAGCAGGAGCTGCCTGGCCCTGGGGGGCCACTGCCCAGAGCCCTATCTGCAGGCTTCTTCAACTGCTTAAAGTACTGCATGAGCTACACAGCCAACCCTGTGCGACCCTCAGTGGAGCAGTTCCACAAGTATCTTCCCTGGTTCCTGAGCGACCCACCCAACATCAACTGTCCCAAAGGGTAGGTTCAGGAGGGGCTTCTGCTGGGAAGTGTGGATGTGTGGGCCCCAGGAGGAGGAGAACACAGAGGGGCAGGAAGAGACCATGAGGGGCATCTCTAGGGTGGCTATTGGCCGGACAGATAGGAGGAGGCTGGTCCCTGGCTAAGCTTTTACTATGGTGTCTCCTTGCAGTGGCCTGGCAGCATACAACACCTCTGTGGATTTGGGCACAGATGGCCAGGTTTTAGGTAAGCATGGCCTTACCTGGAGTGAGGGACCAAAGACTTTGAGGGCCCCTAAGAATCCCAGGGAACTGCCTCTCCTCATCTCGCATCTTTTCTTCCCTCTCCTTTGTGGGGGGCTTCTAACTACCCGGGCCCTGTCAGCAGGGATCCTGTCTCCCAACTCCACGTCCTGAGACTTCACCCCTTCTCCCACCCCGAAGTCCATGGTCAGCATGCAATACGTGGAATTCTCTCAGCAGTTGATGCCATACTCGGGAGCCACCCACCCCAAGCTGAGCACCTTTTCTCATACAAGTCAGACCCAGAGTCAGCAATGGGCAGCTGACTAAATGCATTAGGAGGCCCTGGTGCAGCGGAATCCAGCAGCCTCGAAAAGTAGTGAGGGAGGTGAAGCCAGACTGCTAGCAGAAAGCACTCACAACGTGTGGCCAGTTTAACACAGCAGACAGCAGAACAAGGCAGCGTCTGCACGAAGGGGCTGGCCTCTGTGCACACGTGTTTGACGTGGGGACTCTGGTGGAGCTGGTGCTGGAGATGGGCCTGGGGGTGGGTGGTGGATGGGGAAGCTTCTGATGGATTCTTTTCCTTTGTACTGAAATAATCCACAGTTTGAGTTATTAGGAACAAACTGACTGAGGGTGATGCTCGCCCCACCCTCCTAGATAAATTTTCTGTGAAGTTCCCATCTTCCAGGAGGGGTAGCTCATCCCATCCCGCCCTGGCCCTGGTCCCTGGGTATCACAGGCTATGCAGGGCAAGTATGGCGGGGCTGGTGTGGACAGACAGTAGTGGTGTCTCAGTAAGGGACAGAGGAGCAGGCTGTGGAGGGAGCAGATGGGGACGCCAACCCCCATGACCTGGGGCAGGTCTGCACCTACCTCTGGACTTAGTCTCTTCACGTGTCACTAGGTTAGTCTATAGCAGTGCTTCTCAAAGTGGGGTCCACTGGCCAGCAGCATCAGCATCACCTGGAAATTGATTGAAACGCCAGTTTCTAGGCCTCACATGAGACCTGCTAGATCTGAATTTCTGGGTTGGGGTGGCTGTGTTAACTGACTTCTAGGTGGTTCAGAGGCCTGGCAGAGGCTCTTCAGGCACCTATCCTGATCTAAGGATCATTCTGATCTCAGGTTGTATGTGTCCAAGAGCATTTCTCTTGTCCTTCTTTCTCCACATGTACATAGCTCTACTGTTTTGTTTCCTGATACACATGCTCCTTGTACACAATGAAGAAATAATCTTTTTTTTTTTTTTCCTTTTTTTTGTCTTTTTTACTGACCGGTAACGGGATCGCAACCCTCAGTGTTGCGCCCGCACCGCGCTCAGCCAGTGAGCGGGAACCAGTCTCCACATGGGATCCGAACCCTCGGCGGGAGTGCCGCCACGCTTCCCAAGTGGCGCACTCTCCAGTGCACCACCGGGCCGGCCCTGAAGAAATAATCTTTATTGTGCTTGCCCAGCAGGAGCCCTAAGCCACAGTGCTAACAATTCGACTGTGTTCATTTTTCTGTCTTCCTTTTAGTTTTTTCTTTTAGGAATATACAAACTTGAAAACTATGTTAATTTTAAAAAATCCAATACACATTTTGAAACCATAGAGAGAAGAATTTGGGTTCACCAGGGAGATCTCTTTAGGCTCCATCTGTCAAAGGTCATGCTGGATGCAGGTCTCTCACCACAGCAGGACCAGCTACAGAGTGTGGTGCTGGTGCAAAATGAAAATCCTGGCCACCTGCACAGACTTTACTAAGAATTTCAAATGGAAGTGGCAGAGCCCTGAACCCAGCCTGGTCACACGCCCATGCCACTGTCCCTAGGGCATTCTGAGGGTGTCCTGGGGCAGGCTCTAACCTTTGTGTTTCCCTTCCCCATGTCCTATGGCCGCCCAGCTTCCCGGTTCATGGCTTACCACACGCCCCTGAAGAACTCACAGGATTACACGAAAGCTCTGCGGGCAGCTCGGGAGCTGGCAACCAACATCACTGCTGACCTGAGGAAGGTGCCGGGGACAGACCCGGCCTTTGAGGTCTTCCCCTACACGTGAGGACCTGGTGGCCGGGCCGAAGGGAGGTGGGAGTGACTTCCAGGAACAGGAGGTTAGGGCTGTGGGCTTGTAAGGGATTGCATGAGACAAGGGCCAGCTTTGGCTCAGAAGGCTCCGGCTGCCACCTGGGACCTGCGCATTTCTCACTCTGGTCCCCAACATATGCCTTTCTGAGTCCCAGTGTCCTCCTTCTGAAATGGGGTGTCCTGCCCACCTTAAGACCTGCGAGGCCTGCACTTGTGGTCACACTCTGCATTCTGGCAGGATCTCTAACGTATTCTACGAGCAGTACCTGACCGTGCTCCCCGAGGGGCTCTTCACGCTCAGCCTCTGCCTCGTGCCCACCTTCGCCGTCTGCTGCCTCCTGCTGGGCATGGACCTGCGCTCTGGCCTCCTCAACCTCATCTCCATCGTCATGATACTTGTGGACACCGTTGGCTTCATGGCCCTGGCGGGCATCAGTTACAATGCCGTGTCCCTCATCAACCTGGTCTCGGTAACCTGCCAGACACAAGCACCAGGTGGCCCCTGGAGGGGCGGTTGGGGATCCAGCCTCATAGGACAGTGCCAGTTATGTCTAGAATCCAGACACCTGCCCCGCTGGTCCCAGTAGTGACCTCGTCTCCTGGCTCCTTCCCTGCCTCTGCCTTTCTCTGCTGAAGCCCCCTTTCTGCCTCAGGCGGTGGGCATGTCTGTGGAGTTTGTGTCCCACATCACCCGCTCCTTTGCCATCAGCACCAAGCCCACTCGGCTGGAGAGGGCCAAGGAAGCCACCATCTCCATGGGTAGTGCTGTAAGTGGGGTAGGGTGGGCTTCCCTGTGCCCTGCCTGACACCCTCTGCCCGATCTGACACTCTGTAGCCCGCTTGACACCCTGTCCCGCCTGATGCTCTGTGCCCCATCTGATGCCCTCTGTCCCTCCTGATCACCTGTGCCCCGTCTGACAGCTTGCTGTAACCTCCTAGGTATTCGCGGGGGTGGCCATGACCAACCTGCCCGGCATCCTTGTCCTGGGCCTTGCCAAGGCCCAGCTTATTCAGATCTTCTTCTTCCGCCTCAACCTCCTGATCACCCTGCTGGGCCTGCTGCACGGCCTGGTCTTCCTGCCAGTCATTCTCAGCTACCTGGGTGAGTGCCCAGGCCAGCTCCTGCCAGCCTGCTGTGGTTATGATGATAACCACGACAACCGTGCATGTGCACCACAAAAACTCAGGGAGTGCAAATGTCAGAAGCACTCACGAAGCCAAGACCATGACCACATGGCACTTCCTGTTCTGGAAGCTGCTGTTGTTCACTTAATATATTGTGAACATCTTTCTTTGTCAGCGGATGTGTGTCTCACGTGGCCCTATGAATCTCTACTGCACCAGTGCTGGACTTTTAAGCATGACCTTTAGCAAGAAATATATTTTATGCTGAGAGGTGATGCGCATGGGTGCACACACACACATATAACTAAAACAAATGTTCTGCAAAATAATACTTGCCCTTACCACATGTGAAGCATCCTGATATTTTCGGTTCTATTCTATCTTTAATTTTAAAAATGTTGGTGTTAATCTACTGGGTTGATTTCATGACTCATTAATGGGAGGTGATTTGTAGTTTGAAAATGCCACCCTGTTGTTTGGTTCCACTAATTTAACTAGCTCCCAAGTGGTGGACATCAGACTACTTCTGACTTTCCACTATTATTGCCAGTGCTGCAGTGAACAACCTTGTGGCTGAATCTCTGACCTCATCCTCCAACATTTTCTTAGAGAAAGTCCATGAACGGCTATTGTTAATACCAGCTGTCAATACCCTGCAGAACAGTTTTGCCTTTTAAACTTACACTAGCAGTGTGCATAAGTGTCCATTTCCCTGTACCCTTGGGTCGTTGAATGTGACCATTAAAAATCTCCCCCCGCAGAGATTTAAACTGAGCTCCCAGGACAAGGGCACTTCTGGCTCTCGGGGTGGGTGAACTGGGATTTCAATTTTACCCCTCACCAGACTGTAATAATAATAGAATAACATCACATTTACAGAAGGGTGTGTTTGTGCATCAACACACGTGTCCTCAATTCCTTTCCCACCCCTAGAGGAAGGTATTGTTGTCATCCCCATTTTATAGATGAGGAAACTGAGACACCTGCCCCGGGTCACAGACCTGGGAACCTACACAGCTCCAGCATTCCTGAGACATGGCAGTCTCTTTAGGGATTTCCTGACCCTCTTTGGAAGAGGAGAGTTTGTGTATTGGGCATGGCGGGTGAGACACAAGAGAGGGGCAATGAGGGGCAGCCCTGGGGTCTTCTTGGATGAGGGGAGCCCAGCGCCTAGGAGCTGCAGGTGGTGGCTGCTCCTTGGAAGTTCCCAGATTGCCTGGGGGAAGTGGGGACAAGGAGCTTACAGATCTGGCCCCCCCTACAGAGTGGCCAGGACCTCCTGAAGCTTGGGCCATGTAAGCATGACTCAGAAAGGCATGTGGTGAGCACAGAGTCCCCAAGGGACTTCTGTGCCCTGAGTTTGTTGTAGAGTGAGGAACAGCTTCTGTTGGCTGCAGATGTCAGCACAGGGAGTCCCAGGAGGAGTGGGAGAGAGAGGCAGTCACAAGTCCTTGGGGCGGTCTCAGGGCTTTCCCTGAGAGAGCACGCCCACAGAGGCAGCCAGGTATAAATGCCAGCTGAAGCAGCTACTGGTTTGGGGGACAGAGTAGAGCAAGTGCGCGGGAGGTGCAGATGGAGGTTGGGGGTTCAGCCTTCGCTCTCTAGACATCCCCCTGCCTGCTCCTCTGATTCTGGTCCTCTGTCACTGTCTCTCTGCAGGGCCTGATGTCAACCCAGCTCTGATGCTGGAGGTGAAGTGGGCAGAGGAGGCGACAGCGGCCAGGGCAGCCTCCTGCTTGAAGCACCCCTCCCCGTCCTGCACAACCAACACCTATGTCAACCACGGCTTTGACCATCCTGTCAAGGGCGCTGGTGCCATCAGTGGCTCTTTGCCCAACAATGGGAAGGAGCTCTGATGAAGCCAGAGCCCCCGTTCAGGCTCTGTGGCCCTGAACACAGAGGCCATGAGGGTCTTCCCTGTAGCTGTGCCTTGACCCACCCCCTCCTCAGGGCCTGAAGGAGACTGTTCCCATGAGACTACCTGGCACTGGAGGATGGCACACCCTCTGGCCACAAGGCATCCAGGCAGCACCACCCGTAGCTTCCCCGGTTTCCAAGTCACTCGGACCTCATCAGCTTGAGCTTGCTTCTGCTTCTGGGCTCTGGATCTCAGAGCTGCCAGGAACAGACACACTCTGCACTGGTCCCAGACTCCGGCTCTTCCTTGATGCCTGCTTCTCATCTCACTTTTCCCTTCTCCTGTCAAAAAAGTCTCAATTCCATGTCCATAAGTCCTTAACACTCACCAGTGTCCCTGAGAACAGAGAGTGACCCCCATCCTGGCTGTGATCCTGCAGGAAACCAAGGAGAGGCAGAGGCTCAGGCCAGAGCCAGGGCTGGGAGGCTAGCTAACAGCCACCCCATCCAGGGTGCACCTGCAGATCTGTCATCTCCAGTCCTCTCTGGTGAGGGAAGGCCCTGGGAGGATGTCCTCATAAATACTCTGGTCATGATTGGCCTCACCTGGAAAGTGGTATTTGGTTTGGTCTCTAGCTCCATCAATTACTAAGGCTGTTGCTGCTAAACAAACCACTTGCATGTCTGAAGGCTGGGAGCCCTCGGGGTCAGGCCGGGCCTCCCACCTCCATCTCATGCATGGAGCACTGGTCTGTTAGCCTTAAACCAGCCCAACCTGAGCCTCTGTAGAGAACTCTCCAGAAGCCTAAACTCTCCAGAGGAGAGGAAGAAGCCTTGCTCTGGGATGTGCACTTGGGTGCCTAATAAATATCTGTTGAGCAGAAATAGTGTTTTATGTTACATGTCCTACTCTGGCTGCCTCTGGGTTCAAGATAATTTTTGTAAATGACACAAATTATACTTGTGTGGGAGAGTGATTTATGGAGATATTTTAGATTGTGTTTTGTTCTGTTTCCCCTCCCTCTTCTCAAGAAAGTAGCCAGGTGGTTGTGTGCCCTTGCCTTACAGGTGCCTTTGAGGAGTCGGAGTAACTTCCCCTCAGACTGGGCGGGCACAGAGCCTAGGAGTCAGCTGCGAGCAGGATGTGCAGCTTGTCCCTTTCCAGGGCCAGTCTATGAGGGAGGCAACACCTGGGTCACCTGCCAGAGAACCTGCAGTGCATTTAGTGAGGGAGCCTCACTATGCAAACTACCAGCTTCCAGGAAGGTCCCTTGCCACAACAGTGGATGAAAATGTCAAGGAATATTCCAGACCCCCTGGAGCCTTTCTGGGAGCCCCTGGGTCCAGCCCTTGTGTGGCTGAGATGCTGCTGTGGCTTCCTATGCTCAGAGGGCCTGTTAACATGTGAAAGGAGGACAAGATAAAGGGGGTAGAAAGGAGCTAGCATTTCTGGAACCTACTATTTACTCTCTGGTCCTCACAAGAGCCCTGTGTACCAGGCACCAGTAGCCCTCCTTTGGGATGGTCGCTGGCTGGCCAGGATGGACAGGAGATCTGGTAAAGGGAGAGTTACCAGGGAACAGAGACTGAGGAGAAATCACACAAATCACCCTGTACAAACTCCACAGATGCAGGATAGACAAACAGATCTGAGGAACAAAACAGCTTCCAATAACAGTGACATTTCATAACCAGAGGAAAGGACAGACCATTCAGTAACTGCTGTGGGAGCAGTTAGCAAATCATTTGGATCAAAATAAAGTGATATCTATGCCTTGCACCCTATACAAAAACAAAAGTACAGATAGACTAAAGAGCTAAACATAAAAGTGAAACTCTACAACTATTAGAAGAGAACACAGAAGAGTATGTTAAAATCTTGGGGTAAGAAAAGTTTCCTAAATACAGGGTCCAGAAGCCATAAAGGTAATGACTAAAGGTTTGATTACATAACAATTAAAAATTTCTGTAAACACACAAACACGAACAAAAAAATATATTAAAGAATTTGAAAGACACGAGTTGGAAAAAATATTTGCAAGATGTTTAACAGCAAAGGATTAAAATCAAGAATTTCAAAAGAGAGCAAGTGGTGGGCTCCGTTACGTGGCTAATTCTTGCACTGAAAACAACAAAATTTCTGGCTAAAATAAATCTTGGTCATAGTATTATGTAAGTCATGTGCCATAAAATGACATCATGTTTTGGTCAATGACAGACTGTATATATGACGGTGGTTGGAGCAATGGGCTATACCATATAGCCTACGTGTGTAGTATGTTATATCATCTAGGTTTGTGTAAGTGCACTCCATGATGTTTGCACAATGATAAAAATACCTAACGATGCATTTTTCAGAACATATCCCCATTGTTAAGTGACCCATGACTACATATGTATACACATACACATACATGCACATACTTGTACATATTAGGTGAATACAAGTTTAGAATTGTTTTATCTTTATGGTAAATTGAAATTTTTATAGTTATGAAGTGTCTATAAAAATGTCCCTCTATCATTTTTTCAACCTTATAATGTTATTATACAAACATACATATATACATATGTACACACACACACACACACAAAAACAATTGTCCCTCAGTATCTGTGGGGAATTGGTTCAGACCTCCAGTGGACACCAAAATTTGCAGATGCTCAAATCCCTAATATAAAATGGTATTGTATTTGCATATAACCTGTGCATACATATATATGTATATTTAAATTTAATTAATTAATTAATTAATTAAATTATTTTCTGATATACAATGTGGTTGATTATTGTTGCCCATTACCGAAACCCCCCTCCCTCCTTCCTCTCCCCCTCCCACCCAACAATGTCCTTTCTGTTTGCTTGTCGTACCAACTTCAAGGAATTGTAG